CAGGACTGTCACAGTGCTGTCAGTTTGATTCAAAGGTGTTTCCAGCTCATATGGTGGCATAGACGGTGCTAAAACAAACAAAACAAAACAAAAAACAAAACAAACAAAACAGAGGCAAAATATGCTCGTTATTTCCATATTTGTTTGGTTTTTTAATGAACTGTATCTTTACTTTAACCGTTTATTTAAAAAATGTGTCACTACAGTTTGATGCATTGGTTCACCTATAGATGCTACTACCTCATGTGGACAACATGTAACACTGAAAAGCAAGAATAGTTACAGATTATCGCCCAAATAAGACCTGGACCTTGATTTTGGAAAGCAGAGTGTAGAAATGTTTTTTTCTAGAGATGTAGCTGACTGCCTAAGATAGAGTTAAGTCCTAACAGTGACAGAGTCAAGGCTAGACCCCTGGAAGGCTAGGGAGTAGAAAGCCTGTTACTTTACTGTAATTAGTTTTTTATATAAGTTCCTGGAAATAATAAAATGTTGCTTTCATGCCACAAGTCTCTTTAAGCTACTGCAAACTATTACAGACAACAACTTAGGGCATTGTCACACATTCACTTTGCAATGGTGGCAAATTATTGAAATGTTGTGATGTACATGTTGGAGTGGTGTCATACGCTCCTTTGCAACAACTGCAAATCATTGGAATGTGGTAACCTAAAGTTAATACAGCAGACGCTTGCCATTTGTGGGGGATACATTCTCATATCCCCTGCGAATGGTGAAATCCGTGAATAAGGCACTGCGTTCATGAACACCATCTGCATTCATGAATGCAGCACCCCTGGCAGCTGGGAGCAGGGCACGGCTGCACTGGTGATGGCGGCAGTGCGGTGGTGGCAGCGGGAGCCAGGCAGCAGCAAGCATGGAGCTCTGAAGAGCTCCTTTAAGTGTATTTAAGATGCAGGTTCGGCATTCACAAATACTTGAAACCACGAATGCCGAACCTGCGAATAGCAAGGGTTTCCTGTATGTGTTAAGAGATAAACCTTGCCTGAAAGGGAACAAATCTTCAACAACCAGAAGGCACCTAACACATGCTAAACTACTTGAATATACATCTGCTTGCATTTTAACTGCACTTAGTAAGTGTTAAGTTGAACATGTGGCATCATCTTTAGTTGGCCTGAGAGCCATCTCAATTGCCTCCTCCAGCACAAGTTACTATGCTCGGTCAATAGCTACTACAGATTTCTGAGACAGGGCTAATAGAGGACTCTGCCCTTTCTGATGGCTAGATCAGAGAGAAGCAGGAGCCATTTTGGCAGCCATTAATGTGCAGCATCTCCATGGTTCTATTTCAGGAAAGAAAAAGCAGCTTTGCTGCTTAAGGATCACACCCCTATTTTAGAGGGCTGATTTTGGAAGAAAAGATTTTTTATTAGACTACGATGGATCATTTTATCCACCGTTGCAATTAAGACAACTTTGTAGATGAACTTGGGAGCTGTTTTAACAGTGAATAGTAACAGTCCTCAACAGTTTTGACAGGAAATCAAGAATTTCTTATTCAACTGAAAAGGAAGTATAGATTTAGAGAAATTAAAATCCAGTTACCTAAACTGGAATTTGGCCAGCATGCAGCATTAATACCTCATTTATTGTAGAAAGTGCTATGGGATATTTAAATTGTTAGCAGTAAGAATGCTGGTTTTACATCATACCAAAAAGCTGTGACAGCAACAAATGACCCTAAAGCTTCATACTGGGATGTTTGCTTGGGACACAGAATGAAAAAAAGAGAGTTCTACTACCTGAATCTTCAGCACTATTTCCCATAGCACTTTAAACAGGGGTTTTAAAGGATCATAAGGAAGGTAGACTCAAGTCTGTTTGAAATTCCATAGGACCTGTGTGGCTAATACCCTTAGGCTCCTTCAAAAATCCCAGCCATAAGACTTCCCTGGTGATGTTCCATAAACCACTGATAAACCTAATCCTGCTTGTATTGATGACTGTGGTCAGATGGCTTCCAAGTGGTGTTGGCTGTATGGAGCAATTCCACATCAAAACATGTGTCATGCAATGTAAACTCCTAGAACTGTTCTCTATGGCTAGGGACAGATATTACACATAAACTGGTTTAAGTAATCAGAAACTAGTTTAAACCTGTAACAGAACAGATATTCAGTGCACATAAACCAGTTTGATAATGGCTGAAACCAGTTTGAGATAACCCTGGTTGAAAAGTATCAGACTTAACTGATTTGGCTCAAACTGGTTTATGCAATGTCTGTCCCAGAACCCTTGCTGGTTTAAGATAAACCAGACACTCCTGGCATGCTCTCTGGGATAAGTGGGGCTCTCTGCTCCACAGCAGGGCTGGCCCCTTACCTCTGCTCCCTGGTTGCAGCTCTCTCCCTCTCACCACTGCCTGCTAAATAGGAATTCCCCCCTTCACTCTGCCTTGCAGAGAGGTGTCTGTGTATTAGCTAGCAGACCACATGCTGGCTACAGTCCATGCTGAATCAACAGGCAGAATCAACAAGTAGCTGGTAATGTCCTTCTGTTGTTTTTTTAATTGGATGATAAACACTGTTATCAATTCCCTCTAGGCTAATCACAGTTTCCTGCCTGAGCCTGGCCACACCCCCCTCAGCTTCATGCTGAGAAGGAAGGGAAGGCTGCTTTAGCACCCTCTGGCTTCTAGCCTGAGCCACTGCAGACATATGCCTGCATTTCTGAATGTCTGTCTGGTTAAAAAACTGATTTAGCCTAGCCAGGTTAGACTAACCTATAAAGACTGAATCAATTCAGGCTCAGGCTTTTTGAATGTCTGTCCCTACCCTATATCCCAGTTCTTCTCTTCTCTGAATAGTACCTTCTTCCCATTCTACAAAGGCCTGGCTCTGCCAACCTAGTTCACACTTACAGTGCAAGCAGCTGGGCAGATTTCTTGCAGACAAAAGTTCTACTCAGCATCATGGAGTAGAGTACTGGACACAGTCTTTATTTTCTGACACTAATTATATTCATGGCTTTTATTAAGAATGTTTCTTAGCTGATAATCACCAACTAAATATATCCCTACAATAACCTGTATGAATAATATTTTCTAACTTCCATTCACTGTCCTTTCCTCAAATAATTCATTGCTGTGTTTCTGAACAAAGCTTTCAATGTTGATCACTCCACAACAAAGGCAGAAAAGGTGACAATGAGAATATCAGAGAAACAAGATGATAAACAAAGTCTCCTGGTTAGCTTGCTTTACATTTTCCAAAAAGGGAAGACTGACAAAGAATAACTAATTCAAGTTTTTATGAATATTCTTCCAAGACCACATGGCATCTGACTGTCAGCTTAATTCCCAGAAACATGGTCAAAAGATTGAATATACAGAGTTTTCCATTATAGAACTTTGTAACATATTTGGTCATCCATCACATATGTACTTTAGCATACGTAGTAGTATTGCATTCCATCAACCAAGGGCAATAAAATGTTCCTCTGCCTAAGACAGCTTTAAAATATTGTACAGAGGCTTTTAGAAATGCCATAGTCATCTTTCCCACTATCTGAAAACCACCAGTCTTCACATTCCTCTCTAATGCAGTTTCATATCCACTTCAGCCCAAGTATTTGTTAGGACAGCATGCAGCCTGGCAGTTCCCCACACTTTTTAAGCTAATGCTAGAAGTTTAGCATTTTTTGCCACAGTCTCAATTGTTCATGGCTCATTATAGAGATTTTCCAGCACTGCTACTGTACTAATTTAGAATCGTGTCAAGGCTCAATGAGCTCTGAATGGAACCCTCAGCATCGTGTCCAAAATATCCGATGCTAAAAGTCGCAACAGCTGCTAACACTGACTCCACCCACCTAATTCATATGGTTTTGTGGATGATAACTGCAGTTCCAAACAAGAATTTCAAAGTAGGCATGATCTGACTGATTTTCAATCACCTGTAAATTATTCTAACACAGTGTGTTTCACTTTATCTAGCACTTTCAGGGGGGAAAAAAATATTTTTTCTTTCTGACAAGTGTAAAACATTTTGTTTTTTTTAAAGATAAATAAAAAGACACCCCCCCCCCCCATCAAAACAAAAGCCAAGAGTTATGACCATAAGGGAACTGATATAGTCTTTAATTAAATACCTGATATTTTGGTGGTGAATTGACTTGTGATTGGAGGCCCAAACCCCTTAGCTGTGCTGGCTCTAATGGTAAATGAATATGTGGTTCCAGGATTAAGTCCAAAAAAAAAGTAGTGGGTTTCATTTCCTAGCTTTAAGACTCTTCCACTTTGATTGGATAAATCTATTTCTGGATCAAAGGAGCTGACTGCCTTGTAGGTGATCTGCAAAAGAATAAGAAAGTTATAAAGCATCTCAAGCAGATGGACAAAGATTTCATCTTTATCCAGTAAACCCTTCTGATGTATGCACTGTCGGACATTTTATGATAAGCTATCTTACTCTCTTATACTCTTCAAATCCTGAATCCAATGAAGGGACATAGGAACTCAGCCAAAACTGTTATGAGTTATTACTTGTATAGATACAGGGACTTAAAGGCAGCTAGATTACAACAGTAAAGGATAGGTTCAGGCTTAAGCTAATACCTTTAAGTTGTTGGCTTTCACAATGTTATTTTTTCTGAAGCCATATTACTGCTGGATTTGAACAAAAAAGACAACTAGGAAAAACAGATAAGCAAGTGACAAAGGTATAGTTTCATTTCTGATCTTTTTTTAGTATAATTACACCTTGCTCTGAATAAGATTATCCTCACTAGATGACAAGGGCAGTTTTAGGTGAATTCTTCACAGAAAAAATGACACACATATTTGAGTCTGAAGCTTATGTATTGTAATTGCTATGTTGTAAATTTTCAGGTAGTTCAGTAAACCAAACTCAGCTATTCAATTTGGGGAAAAATACCTTCAATAATATATGCAATCCATATGCTGTATTTTTAGTTCCTCCCTTTCATTTTTTGTGTTCTCATTAAAATCTCTAGTCCAGAATAAAATGCTGTACAATTTTTTGGTAGTAAATTATTGACTTCTTCAATATCTGAATTAACTTAAAAAAAGAACTCTAAAAAATAGTTAAAATGTAAAAATAACTCAATTTCCCCCTTTTAAATAGGTAGTTGTAGTTGTAAATTTTCACATATTAACTTGAGCACCATTAGTATATAAAGGAATAATTGACACTCTCTGTTAGATTTACACCATATTATTATAATTAAGAAGACATCTGAAGCAATATTTAGATAGAGACATTTAAGCTTTGGCAAGGAACTTTTACTGTGTATATTAGCTATGGGACTGTGTGACAGGTGCAGTATGCATCACTAACCCTTCTTAAATGATTAAATATTTGCAAGTTCCTAAAACCTCTGAATCAATGAAAATATGTTTATGAGCTGCATATAACCTTATAGGAACAGAATCCTGGGCATGTGTTAGTGCCCAGGAAAACAGATCAATTCAAGACAAAATACAATACATTTTTGTCAGGAGTTGCACTTGGATGAGCAATCTTTAAATTCTTCATGCAAGGACTGATCTAAAAAGCTTTCAAATCAAACCAACCCTCTTCATTTTTGTCAGGAGACAGAGACTGAGACAGAGGTAGGGAAGAGTTAACCAGCAAACACAGGGACTCTTAATTAGATTCCTCAATATCCGCTTCCAATTTTATTGAAAATGTAGCCAGGAAGTCACAAATTCTGTGACCCATGTGCTAGCTGTTAATTATGCTTGTTTCATGAAATTTTGAATTGGCTATATGGCTGTTGCACTATAAGGACCTAAACTATTCCACCATAAACAACCTGTTCATTAAAAAAAAAAAGAGTAGCTTGCTTGGTTACAATTGCAATACACTGTTCCTGTATATTTTCAGTATGCTCCTCTCCTCATTTAGTAAAGCTGTATCTTCTCCAAACTTTCTTATTTTGAAAATATCTAAAAAAACCTCCCACTGATGCAAATATACACCTTGGAATGGTCAGGGGGCTAATTTAGAAAAGGCCATGTGGGCACTTTTATCGCTGTGTATGCAAGCTGACTCTTGGGAGGGTTTACTGGTATTTTGCTTGTTTACAGTAGCACTCCTTTCATTGCTATCAACTCAGGAACTACACTGATGTAAGGAGAGTTGGAAGATGTTTCAGAATAAAGAACATTGTGTAGACCACACTATACCAGTTAACACCAGACCTACATTTAAAGGCCCATTTTTATTTGCTGAGTTTTTGTTTTTCCAAAATTGTTGAAACCATTGGATTTGCAGTAGGGACTAGACCCTTGAATTATTTTTTGCTCCGCTTTGCACAATAGCAACCAGGAAGTTTCTCACATAGGCACAGTGCTCCTGTGATACCATGAGTGCCAACCTCTGGAATCAAGCCACATGCCAGCAAAAACCTGCTGTGACATTCAGCTGGCCAGGTCCACTACCTACTTGGCATATTTAGAAAAAACAAGACCTGAGGTGATTGAGTCAAACTGATGGTATGTTCATGAAAAAAAATCAAAGTAATTTTAATGATATCTGATTTCTACTGCGATTACCATCTTCTCTGTGATTGCTTTCTTAATTAACACCTAGCATGAGGAGATATTCATGTTTTCATAGATTTCATAGACATCAGGGCTGGAAGTAACCTCAGAAGATCATCGAGTCCAGCCCCCCGCCCAAAGGGCAGGAAGTCAGCTGGGGTCATAGGATCCCAGCAAGATAAGCATCCAGTTTCATCTTGAAGGTGTTCAATGAAGGCGCTTGAACCACCTCCGGTGGCAGGCTGTTCCAGACCTTGGGGGCTCGGACAGTAAAGAAATTCTTTCTTATGTCCAGCCTGAAACGATCTTGAAGTAGTTTGTGACCATTCGACCTCGTCATCCCTTGGGGCGCTCTGGTGAACAAACGATCCCCCAGATGCTGGTGGTCACCCCTGATAAACTTGTAGGTGGCCATCAGATCACCCCTGAGCCTGCGCTTTTTCAGGCTAAAGAGCCCCAGGGCTCTCAGCCTGTCATCGTAGGGTCTGTTTCCCTGACCTCTGATCATGCACGTGGCTCTTCTCTGGACTCTCTCAAGCTTCTCCACATCCTTTTTGAATTGTGGAGCCCAAAACTGGACACAGTACTCCAGCTGCGGCCTCACTAAGGCAGGCTAAAGAGTCCCAGGGCTCTCAGCCTGTCATCGTAGGGTCTGCTTCCCTGACCTCTGATCATGCGCGTGGCTCTTCTCTGGACTCTCTCAAGCTTCTCCACATCCTTTTTGAATTGTGGAGCCCAAAACTGGACACAGTACTCCAGCTGCGGCCTCACTAAGGCCGAGTACAGGGGGAGAATGACGTCCCGGGATTTGCTTGAGAAGCATCTATGGATGCAAGCCAGCGTTTTGGTCGCTTTACTAGCCGCCGCATCGCATTGCAGGCTCATGTTCATCTTGTGGTCAATGATGACCCCCAAGTCTCTTTCTTCCATAGTGCTAGCCAACATAGCACTGCCGAGCCTATAAGGATGCTGCGGGTTTTTTTTCCCCAAGGTGGAGAACCTTGCATTTATCGGCGTTGAACACCATCAGATTCTCGTCCGCCCACTTGCTGAGCCTGTCCAGGTCAGCCTGGATAACCTGCCTGTCTTCTGGTGTGGATGCTTTGCCCCAAAGTTTGGTGTCATCGGCGAACTTGGCCAGTTCTGATCGCTTCTGACTCCAGTGTCCACATCATTAATGAAGATGTTGAACAGTATGGGTCCAAGGACAGAGCCTTGGGGGACCCCACTGGTCACAGGACACCACGATGAGTGACTTCCATCAATTACTACCCTCTGGGTCCGACCCCGGAGCCAATTTTCCAGCCAGCGGATCGTGGAGGACCCAAGGCGACAATTGGCCAGTTTCTCCAAGAGGCGATCATGGGACACCAGATCGAAAGCTTTTTTGAAGTCAAGATATATGACATCAATCTCTTCTCCCTTGTCCAGGTGATAGGTCACCTGGTCATAGAAGGAAATGAGATTGGTCAAGCAAGACCTACCCGCAACAAACCCGTGCTGGCTATCCCTTAAGATGTTGACGTTGGCCAGTCCATTAAGGATGGCCTCTTTAATAAACTTTTCTAAGATCTTCCCCGGGATAGAAGTCAGGCTGATGGGCCTATAGTTAGCCGGATCCACTTTCCTCCCTTTCTTGAAGATAGGCACCACATTGGCCTTCTTCCAGTCTTTGGGCACTACACCAGAGCTCCAAGAGTTTTCAAAGATCCGTGCTAGAGGCTAGGCTATGATGCTCGCCAGCTCCTTGAGTACCCTGGGGTGAAGATTGTCAGGGCCGGCTGACTTGAAGGTATCCAGCTTCTCAAGATGTTCCTTCACAAAGTCAGCATTAATGGAGGGCAGGGGATCACCCTCACCCGGACTTCCCGGCCCTGTAGCGGGAAGTTCCTTTTCTTCCCTTTGCACTAGTTTTTCACTGTTAAAGTGCTACTGGAGTACTTTGATGTGCAAAAGCTCTTCTGTTCCCAAACACTTTGGAAGGATAGTTAGGCTGTTAATTACCTCCTTTTAACTGGTCTGTGCAACACCTACTAGAGTTGATGTATACTATATATGTGTATTGAGAAAAGAGTTTCCCCTCAAGCTAGGTACAGACATTTGGGAGTGTTAGAGGGAAGTTAAATCAATTCAAAATGGCCATTTGATATCAGGTAAGTTGGGATGGGGGGGCTAATGGGAGTGTTGAGGTGGGGAAAGCAGGCTAGGGGAGAAAACGGGGGGTTTGCCAGAGGATGGGTGGGCAGGCAGGTGTGATCCATGGGTGTGGTGGGGGGCAAGCATGACCCATGGGGAGTTGCATGGGTCCAGGAGCATCTGGCTGGATCAACGTGGCTCACAGTGTCTGCAGGAGGGCTTGGGCTATTTTTAGCCCCATGACCCTCACCGGCAAACCTACCCACATCCCTCCTGACTCCCCTCCAAACATTTACTTGCTCAGCTCTGGCAGTGGCAAACACTAACAAAAGTGGCTGCACCTGGAGCTTTGCAGGATGGGAGTTGAGGGGGACTTGTAGGGGGGCAAAAAACAGCTAGGTGCAGGCAGGGGCAGGGGGAGGGGGTAAAAGGTACAGCCCTGGGAATGGGGCCAGTGACTGGATTTCCCAGCCCTGGAGCTATCCAGGGAAAGTGTACAGAAGTTCCATGCAACTACTTGACCTAAATCAAGTAAGTTTCATATGATATTGATCCCGGTTTATCTTAAACTGGGATCTGCAATTTCTAAACCGGTTTGTGTTACTGGAATGTCTGTACTGTTACAGGTTTAGATTGATTTCTGGTCACTGAGACTGGGTCTTTAAGTGTAAGGTCGGCACCAAGACAAGCCAATTTTAAATCGGGCATCCATTTTGAACCTGATTTAACATCCCCAAATGTCTGTACTTAGCCAAAGAGCATAAAATTTCTCAGCAATCAGGTTATGTACGTGTGATTTTAAGCAGGAACTTTTTGCTAATGTATGTTTTTGTACAAATAAGACCTAAGAATCAGCAAAGTAACAATATTTATTAACTAACCATTCTGACATGCAGTTGTTTGAGATGGTTCATCATGGTTTAAAGTTAGGTCTATCAAAGCCAACTCATACATTTCCATGACATTTTACCCCTTCATCATAACTCAGCCTACAAAACTGAATCAATAGTTAAAAGCATTAAACTTTTTTCTTATATCTCATTTAGAGTCTTTTGGGGTTTTTTGGGGTTTTTTTTAGCATTTCAATACTAATTTAGTAGTAAGATCAGTTAAAAGGTTTAACTGTGATTACAGTCTGACAGCTTAATCTGTGTGGTCTTTTGTCAGATTTTCTGAAAGGTATTCAGGCAAAGGTTCCAGATGAGGAGAATCAGCGACTTTTAGAAACCTAACAACATGTAATTTTGTTGAATTTGCATTAAAAAAAATACCAGATTATTTTTTTAAAGTTGCACCTGCTTGTTTCTATTACAATAGATTTACTGAAATGAGTCTCCCATAAATGTCATGACGACTATCACTACTGTATTCTCTCTCCTATTTTTTAAACATTTTACTGAGATCTGCTTTGCTATCATTCAAATATTTGATGTGCTTTACTAGACAGAACAATATATCACATAGGTTTAACAGCTGCAGTTTTGCTTATATTGAAAACTGGTTTGTAGCAATTTTCTTCTACAGTAGATTTATTTTTCATTAACTCGTGTTCTAATTGATGTTTTTTTTTAAATGGCATTTTAAGAAAAAACTCATCATTTTCCTTTTTAATGCTCTTAAGCCAATTATGTACTTTTTGAATATTGCTTTTTACATGCTTTCCTGTAAATACACAAGCCATTATTCAATTTCTCAATGATAAACTGTGTTTCACCTCAGACTAGGTAATGTTTTGCAGTTATCTAGCAGTCAGTGTGGTAGAGGTGATATCTTTTATTAAACTAACTAGAAAGTTGCAAACAATTTTTTTTTCTTTATTTGCAAGCTTTTGGGCACCACGCCCTTCCTCAGGCATAGGTGAATGCAAAGATTGTAAAATTTCTCCCATGTAGAAATGAAAATTCATATTTTACAGGAGAGCTGGAGGGGGGTGCAAGCTACAGCCTTAATCCTTGAAACATGGAAGATATCATAATTGGCCATTTTGAAATGAAAACTTCATAATTTTACAAGAAGGAAGCAAAATTCAACACCTTGAGAACTGAAAGCTAACACCCCTGCTCAAGCCTTTTGTTTCAACCAAATTTGCATACTTGCGCAGCAACCTCAACATAACAAATTCCTTGCCCAGGAGAACCTTTCCATCATGAATCCTCCTGTGAAATATGAAACATCTTAATAAGAGCGAAGCATAATTCAACATCCTTCTTGCTATCAGACACCTCTGCGGTAAAGAGACTGCTCCAACTTTTATGCAAGCCTAATTTGCATGGAGTGAACTTTTCCAGCCAGGAGAGCTTGCACCACCCTCCAGCTTTCCTGTAAAATATGAATTCTCATTTCTATCTTGGAGAAATTTTACAATCATTGCATTCTCCTATGACCAAGGAAAGGCACGTGTGCCTGAAAGCTTGCAAATAAAGAAAAATTTTGCTTGCAACTGTCTAGTTGGTCTAATAAAAGATATTGCCTCTACCACACTGACTGCTTGTACTTTTAGACCAACATGGCTACAACCTTTACCTTTATATATATATATATATATATATATATATATATAAAAACACATTTATTCTCATATTTCTAAAGCTCTTCAGAATTAATTGATTTGGGAAATTACTTGAACATGTTTAAGCTCTACTGAAGTCTAAGAAAAGGACTTTAGTGCATATTCCTGCATCAAACTTCAATCCAAGCATTCATCATCAAATCATGAATGAAAAAGGATACAGCACAAATGAAAGTCACCCCCAAACAGCTTAAAATTAGAGGTGCACCGATACACTGGTCTGATATTGGATTGGCACCAATATAAAAAAAAAATTCTGTATCAGAAATCGGCCCCATGTGGATGATAATTTGGCTGATAAAAGCCCATGTATGCATGCAGCCACAGCACAGAACATAGGCAGTGAGGAGCACAGCCATTGGCATGGACTGCTGTGTGTACCTGGTAAGTGCTGTGTGTACTTGGTGGAAGGGGAAGGGGAGGGAGAAGGGGTATGGAGGGGCAGATCAGGGCCCCTGTGGTGAGGGAGGGGTTGGGGCAGGGGCTGCCAAGCCAGTGCCGGGGCGGGCACAGGACACGGGAAGCAGCTCCCGTTGCTGCGCACAGCTCTTCCAGTGCTCATATCTGGCAGCTCCCGCCGCGGGGGGGGGATGTGCCCCCTGATCTGCACGGAGCGGGGCAGCATGGGCCGGATTGGGCCAGGCTGCAGCCAGGCTCTTCCTGGCCAGGCAAATCTGGGGGCACATGCCCTGCCGGATGAGCAGTGGTAGCAGCAGTGGGAGCCGTCAGACGAGCACTGTGCCGCACGCAGTGCTGGAAGCTGCCCCCCTCCCTTGCCATGCTCCCCAATGAGCCACACCTCTGTCCTGTGCCCGCCCTGGCCCCAGCCTGCAGCTCCTGCCCACCATGCAGATCCAGGGGCCACACACCCCCTGCCTCCCGGATGAGCCATTTGTGGCTCTGTCCCGCAACCCCCCCACCTCATCTGGTCAGCACCAGCACCTGCCCCAGCCTCAGCCCCAGCCCCAGCCCCAGCCCCATTCTCTCCCTCACTGCAAGAGCCTTGATCTGCCCCCCACATCCCTTCCACCACACCAGACTTACCAGCTGGACGCAGCTCTTCAAGCTGAAGAGCTGCATATCAGAAATGGGATTGGTATTGGCCCATATGCCGCCTTAAAAATCCGCTATTGGTATCGACCCCAAAAATCTCTATTGGTGCGCCCTTACTTAAAATCAAAACTTCCAATACAGAAAAGGAAAGGGGGGATGGAAACAAAGGCCTAAAGAAGGGAAGTGCCAAGTGTTGGAGCACATTTATTGGTTAGTTTACAATCCACTGCTGTATTTACTGAAGCACAGAATCTTCTTGTGTACCTCAATCTAAACAATCTAATATGCAAGTACTCTAATTACTCTATGAAATATACAGACATTTTTAAGACATCACTTTTTTAAAACAAAGCTCTACATGAAAAGGCAATGTACCTCATACAAAGTGATCACACCATATGTTTGCACTGGCTCTCTCCATTGAAGAAAGATCTTCTCTTCAAAAGTGTTTCCTTGGATTGATTCAAGTGGTACAGCACTTGGGACTAATGGGAGGGAAAAGAAAAATGTATGGTTTAGGAAAATTAATGTATAGAGAGGTTTAACCTAACATTAACATCTTCTAGGCCTGCTAACAGTCCATCAAATTTCAGTCCCCTGTTGAGATACAATACTTATATTCTGCAGGTATAATCAGTCTTCGGCAAATTGTTAAACAGACTTAATCTCATCCTTTTCTCTTCTCTCTTTCTCCCAGATAAAACAGGTGTATAATACATTACTCATCTGTTAGGAAATTATACATTTTACCTCTTCCCTATAGAATGACAAACACAGGGTAGTTCTATGAGATTTTCTTCTTTAAATGCACAGTATTATAAAGGAAAATGGATAAGCATATATGCCACCTGCAGTACAGTGAAGTCTAAAACAAGTAAGTAGTGCTCCTCAGTAAAATGTCATTGATGAAAAAGGTGGAGAATTTGACTTTTTAACATTTAAGTCTAGTGTCTTGAAGACAAATTCTTGCTGATAAGTTCAGTATCAATACTTCTCCAGTCATTAATGTCTCCTATTAATTAGAAATATATTGAAAACTCATATATGACATGCATCACAGTACTGAAGTTTCAGATACTATGATTAACCTGTATTAGGACTAGAGGGTCATACTTGGCATAGAACAGTGATGTTGGCTGATATTAGGACAGAAGCTTTACAGTGAAATGGTGATGATGACAATTCAAACATCTGATTGCCTTTCTTCAAGTCTTTTATTACAGGAGACTACTGGGCCTGAAAAGTCAGTTTTACCAGAAGATTCTGATAGAAAGATGCTGTCAGGCCTTTACTACAGTCTCCTCCCAAGCTTTGCAACTGCTGGCTTTTCTTCCCCCATAAAATGCTTCATAAAATACATAAAATGCTTTAGCATAACCCTACAATGCAATACTCGCAGCAGAAAGGTGCTCACAAGGTCTGTGCACATCAGTTTATACCAGAGACAGACCTTGAACTTAATTGTAGCTTGGTTAAGCTCTCAGCAAGTAAAAACAATAACAATCTAGAAAAGTACAAAAGGGAAACATTATGCTTTAGGAAGGTAAGAGTAATATAATTAAAGAAAAAAAAAGAAAACATCAGTGACTTAATAAGTTATATTAGACAATGGAATATTTTCTCAAGGGTGGAACAAGGCACTTATTTTGGGCCATTTAAAACTGAATTAGGTTAAAAACAGACCATAGGAAGGAGTCCTCCATGAAGAGTTCGACTAACAGAATAATTTGCTCCCAGCTCCAATTCAATGAAATGAATAATAGGCAGTGGCACAGCCTACTTTTACAGGGTATAAACTTGCTCCAACATGCAGGTGCATGTTAAAGTATCTTACAAAATCAACTTACAGGTTAGGGACAGAAGTTGCACATAAACTGGCATAAGTGATCAGAAACTGGTTTAAACCTGTAACTGAACAGAAGTTCAGTGCACATAAACCAGTTTCAAAATGGCTGAAACTGGTTTAAGATACACCTGGCTGAATGCAGTATCAGACTTAACGGATTAGGGTCAAGCCAGTTTATGAAACTTCTAGCTGGGGTCTAGGGCCAGGGAGGGGGGTTAAACACCCCTTCCCCATTCAAACTTACTGCTGACTGCAACTGTGGACTACAAATCCCAGAGGCACCTGGAAGCAAGAAGAGGAAGTGAGAAACAACCCTGAAGAGTCCTGCTGCTGTAATTCTGGACTGAAAATCCCAGAAACTTCAGGGGCAGCAGGAAAAGGAAGTGAACACAGCCAGAGAACCATACTATAGCTCCTTCCTTTCTTCAGACCTAAGCCACTGCAGGCAGGCATGTGGCTGCATTTCCTGAATCAAAGGTAAATGTCTGTTCACTTCTGTTTCAATTTAATCTGTGCTGCTTAGACTAACCTGCAAATACTGGACTGATTCAGCCTTGGTCTTTTTGACTGACTGTATTTAGCCACATAATACAATATAAAAGCAGTGCAGATGCAAACCCTATTTCCACAACTTCTCTTCCATGAATGCACCGCAATACTGGACCAAAGGATGATGCACCCATGTCAAGTGGTTAAAGGACATCATGTAAAAATGACTGCTTTAAAAAAAATTTAACTAAAAGATAAAATGGTTAAATTTAATGACCTCTGTAGTTCACAGTTTATATCTATAAACAGTACATAATGGCCCAGATCCTACAAGGCTAACTTCTACCTGTACACCAAAAAATTTAGAAGTTGGGTTTATAGTAATTCCAAGAACATGCTTCATTTTTTATACATCTCTGGCCGTGTCTGCACAAGATGCTTACTGTGCAGAAGCTTGTTACTAATGTACAGTAGTGTCGCGGGGTCTGTGATGTGATGCTACTGTGCAGTAGTAACAAGCTACTGCACAATCATCATCTCAACGAGGCCATGCAAGAATGCTACTGCACAGTAACACCACTTACTGCACAGTCATTTAATACTTGGGTATGCAAGTAGTAAATGGTGCAGTAACAACTGCGCAGTCACTGTTTCATGTAGATATGCCCTCTGTAGGACACAGTTAGTATGCGTGTAATGTATGTTCTTGGAATTACTATAGACCCAACCTCCAAATTTTTCAGTATAGGAGCAGAAGAGAGATAGAGAGAAAGCAAGAGCGAGAGCATAATGCATATTCTTGGAATTACTATAGATCCAATGTCCCATTTTTCATTGTAGGATTAGAAGTTAGTCTCAAAGGATCTGGGACAATATATACTGTTAAATAAATTGACAGCTGTACATTAAAAACAAGAATGTAAACTCTTGTATCTTCTCTGGTTCTTGGCTTTTCCAATGCATTCAATAAAAGCAAAGTATTCAGGGAGTCTTTTATTTAATAAATTAGTATGGGTGGCTTGTTTTGTAAGATTTGTTTTGGTTTATAAGTTTTAGCAATTATTCTGAGCTACACAAGCAATGAAATTTTATTGACATATAACTTTAATTTGTTTTTGAAAGCTCTGGGTTTTTCAAACTTTTTTTTTGCCGTTTCTGATAGGGAAAATTTGGCAATATTTAGAAATATATGTAGTTTCTTTTTTCATACAAGTAAAGTGTCCAGTTATCCTGACTATACAGAAAAGGAGCTTTACTTCAGGAAGTAAGTATTATTCATCCCTGAACCACCAGATTCTCTTGAGAAATATGAGAAGGCTTTTTCTATTGTGAATGCTTGACTGACCAAAAGAAAGTCTTTTTGAATTTCACTGTTAAAAAGGCAAGTTATTCATTAGAAGGGTATATGAGAAATGATAATATGCCTTATTTAAAAAATGTACTACAATGGAAAGAGTCACAGAATCGTGATCCTAATCTTGCAGAACTTTCTACACTAAGAGTATTAAAAGAACTATCTGAGAAGCCCTCAGTTCTTCAGTGGTGATTTTAACAAGTCTTAAAATACTTAGGAAGTTCAAGAAGACTAGTAAAAAGCAAACGTTATTCCAGTTATAAAAAAGGGATACATGAAATAACCAAACTGATTAGCTTGACATTAATACAGTACTAGGCAAAATCATAGAAAGGCTAATATGGAACACAAATCAGTAAAAAATTAAAGGATAGCAGCAAAATTAATTCTGGACAATACAATATTATGGAACTAGGTCTTACCAAACTTATTTTTGTGAGATTACAGTTTTGCTGATAAAGTTGATTAATTTGTGTTAATATATTTAGGATTCTATTAGACATTTGACTTTGTCCTATATGACATTCTGATTAAAAACAATAGTACCATACAAAACCAATACAGTATATAGTGAAGGGATAAAACTATAGCTAACTGATAGATCTAAAAATATATATTTTAAATGTGGATTCATCGTGTAATGTTCATTTATTGGAGAACCCTCTGGTGATTTGATTCATTGTTGGCCAAATACAGTAACTGACATGATTTGGAAGAAAATATAAATTGACAGTGGCAAAGTGTTCAGTTAAAGAAACTAGGGGAGTTGGAAACCCTTTTGGTTTATGAAGTGATCTGGTATAGCCAAAAGCAAAGCCATGCATCCATGAATACAGTTCAGTTGCATGAACTGGGTAAAGGAATGTATTCTGGAGTACTGAAAAGGTGCTATGAAGCCTGGTCACAAAAGAGCATAATCTCCTGGGTTGCCGTTGCCGTTAAGAGGGCTGTAGTGCAATCGTTTGATCCATATGATGGGTAATCAAGTTGGAATAATGGAGGTAGCATTACCTCAGCACATTAGTGGACACGATCATTACTGGGACACTTGATTAACTATAGGAACTTGTGAGGAGGGGACTTTGTATATGCTCTAACTCTTGAAGTCTCTGAATAGACCCTGGATGTTTCTTTCTAAAACATACATTATAACCCAAATAGATGTAATGAACTTGATGCAAGAACTACCATCTGTTACGCAGAAGGTCAGACCATGTGCTGATAAGATTCCCTTTCTAGCCTTAAAATTGATTAAGTCAATAGAAATTCTGCTATTGGCTTTAATGAAACCAGTATTGGGACCTGCACAAGTAATAACCCGGTTAGATGACCATCTGGTAATTTTCATGTTTGATTAATGCAACTTCACACAAAATTGCAAAAGCATTTAAATTTTTTCTGCTCGAGTCTTTTATTCCCTCTCCACTTTTTTCTACAGTACACATCAATTTCAGAGTGTGTGTGATGGTATCCAGATCTGTGAATATATACACACATTTTTTTAAATGAGTATTTTTTTAAATACATTTGCTGAAGGAAGTAAATGCAAAAACTCACCATCTTCATCAGTTTGTACTACAAGTTCTTGACTTTCTTTTCGACCTTCAGGGTTCATGAGTACGAGTTTTATGCTAACATTTGTGTACGGTGACAGATTAGTAATTGTGTGCTGAGGGTGTGAGCTTTCCGTATCCCAACTAACTTCCTCTCTGACTTGCTCTTGTCCTCCAGCTTGGCAGCGGTAGTGGACTGTGAGGTTGTATCGATGGCAACGTGTTACGTTGTACCCAAATGGCTCCCAACGAATAGTGATTTGACGAGATTTGATCTCCACAACTTCTAGTTTCCGTGGTCCACGCATGGGATCTGTAAACATACCCAAATAATTTTATCTAATTTTTACACACATTAAAATCTAAAAAGTAACCATATACAATCTTTGCATATTATATATTAATGACAAGTTGTACACATTTTCATTTGACACTATCATACTATAGCTATACAGAAATTAGAGGAAGATTAAATGCTACTTAATTGACCAAAACCTGCTTCTGACAAAAGTGAAACTCCTTTCATTCCTTCTGGCCCAGGTAACAAAGAGACTACAATAAGAAACTGAACCCAAGTTTCAACCATAGCTCTGTACTAGTGCTGAGATGGCATATGTCCTACATTTTTAGTGAATTATCTATGTATTCAAAACATTCTCATTAGTAGAGCTATTATACATACTTAGCAATAAACTGGATTTTTTTTTTTGTAGAGGAGCCCTCAACAAGATTAAAGACAATGTCTGATTGTATCTATTGCTTCACTAGTTAAATGCTTAGAAGAGTTTTAATGAGCTAGAAATTTCTTATACATAAACAAATTAATATGCATCTCCTCTCTCTCATGTTTATTAATCAACATGTCTTTACCAACAGTGTTCTAAGCACTTTCCACCAGACTTCATCACTTTTACTTTTTACTAAAATCCCAGCATGCTTACAATATTTGTTCAAAGATATTACTCATCTTCATCTTAACTCCTTGAAGAAAAGGTGTTAAGGAATTGTGTGTTCTCTGTTCCAGCCTACAAAGAAAAGCTTTAATGTTTTTTGTTTTTGCTTTAGATCCTTTAACTATTCTTGTATTAATTGTTGTTGAATCACACAGTGTTGATCAGCTTTACAAAATATATGTATTTTTCAATCTAAGCTCCATACTGCATTTGCCAGTTTATGGCCAGACGCCAGTGTTAAATTAACTCAACAATAAAGTTCCCTATTTTGGCTGCTTACGGACATGGAACCCGCCCCCCAAACAGCGCTTTACTTTCAGCTTGGTGCACCCTTGCAATGAACGTGACCAAAAGAGGAATCGTGCCAGTTTGACCCGACTCACCCAGGGTTTCTATTGTTCACATGCTTCAACAGGGCTTTTTGGCACTTTAATAGCTGACTGAATCAGCTATTAGATAAAAGCACCAACAAGCCCCACTGAAGAATGTGAGCTAGACCAATGCTGGGGAGCCAGGTCAAATTGACACAATTGCTCTTCCGGAAAAGTGTTGTTGTTCCTCCCCCCTCCCCTCAATCTGTCAACAACTTTTGTGACTGGACTGAGTGAGCCACGTTCTTGGTTAGAATAATTTAGTTGGAGCCACGCAACTCACTAAATCAATCTTGATCACTGGATGCATGTTTTGTATTTACCACAATTTAAGAGAAGAAAGGTAAAACTCAAAAGATACAAAACTACCAAAGTTTGAACATTTCCCTAAATGTCTATATCTACATAATTCAAGAAGAAATCTCATGAATACTGGTGCTTTTTTCTTGATTTCTATCTCAGTTTCCTGCAATTCATGATTCAGGTTTTTCTGGGAATACTGTAAGAATAGCCTTTTATTTGGTACTTTGGAACTGTTGCATTATTTGCGATGGAATCAATAGGCCCAGCACATTAAAGGTGCAATGACACTGTTACTGTACATTAAGGCTTGAGATTTTGAGTACAGAAATCTTGGTCCACTAAGTTCTATGGCAGGTACACCAGAAATTTTATACCAAAGTTAGGAAATATACAGATTAGGAAACATACAAGAAAAAAAAGGGAAAAAAACCCCCAAAGCTTTTTGAAACTGAAATTAAAAGGTTGTATAAAATAAAATAAATCAAAGCTTATAAAGTCCTTTTGCTAGAGAGAGAACATTTTCTCTCTCATTAATTCACTTATTCTACCAAGCACTTCTCCTTTGTGGGAGAGAAAAGGTTAGTTTTGTTGATGAAGCTTTAGTAAGTTACTCTGAGAATGATGGTTTCTTTACCTGATTTTGAGGAGGCAGACAGACACCAAGCGGGACGAGAAATATGACAGTAAAAGGTGGGGAAACTCAGCTTTGGTTGATGATTTTAAGATATAAGGCAGGCAATCATTAATGGACAGATGATGTAGGCTGATAAGTTAGCCATGACATTGATTACTACAGACTCTGACTTGCTTTATCAGTTCAGGGCATCACTTATGTAGGTTTGTTCAGATCGCTTTCCTTTACTCTCCATTCAAAAGCTGATCAGATCTAAATGAGACCCCTCACTCCATCATGGTGGTGCCATGCTATGGAGTAATCTAATGATCAGGTGAAAATTCAAGAAAGAGCATAGGAGGGAAATGCTGGGAGAAACCATCTGGGACAAGGAAGAAAAGATAAAAACAAGATCTCGTATAGGGTCCTTGCTGTTCACGTATCCTCACAGATCTGTTGCTCTGGATATCCTGGTAGTCAAGGGTCACCAATAAAGGGCAGTCTCTAGAGTGAAAACAAAGCCAGCTGGCTATCGCTAAAGAGAATTCCCCTGCCCCCCAAACCCATGAGTCTGTTATGTTATTTTGTTTCCCAAATTTTCTCTTTTTAAAGTCTTTCTGTTTACTTTTCAACTCCACCCTTCCCCTCCCCACAAACCCAATGATGACAAAAGAACTTATTTTGCAAATTCTGGTTGGAACCAATTTGTACACATGGTAGACATAAAAAATGGAGAAAAATGTTTATTTGAACTTTTGAACTGCAAAAAAAAGGCTATGGTTTGGTTGCGATGTGTGTTATGCCCAATAAGTCATGATAATTTTTAGTCTATATTATAACTTAAAATGTGGTCCATGACAATGGGTAAAGACAACAATCTAACAAAAGGACCACAAACCAACCTCTGTCTGACCAAAAGGTAAGTGTTAGTGTCTTTCTCTTTTTACCTTCAAACATAGAAATATCTAACTCACTTTTTATACCTAAATTCCAATTTAATTCACACAGTATAAACGTAGTACACTACTCTCAACATAATGTAGAAGCTCATTTACTTCCCCCTGAGGATATCTAGGAAGTGAAAGAAATGTCGAGTACTTACACTGCTGTGTGCCTGTCCAAAACTCAAAAACAACCATGTTATGAGTTCTGGGCTAAGATTTTATCTTGCTTTACATGTGTAGCCCAGCTAACTTGGGTATATACTCCCCTTCTCCAACTGAAGGGGATTGATTGTTAGCTGGCAGGTATGCTGTGGGTTGGGAACTGCAGACTGCTCAGTTTTCCTCCGTCCCTCTAGAGCCAGGCCAGGACAGTCAGGGGACTTAACTATATACAAATTTATTTACATTAACTTATCACAAGGGAATGGAACATGGATATAAACATATGTACAATGTATATATATATATATATATATATATATATATATTAATAAGATATCTAAACCAGTAACATAAACAATTTCCTCTGGGTAAATGACAGAAAACCTTATACCAGTGCTCCAGATATAGGTAAGTCACAGGTAAGTATCTGATCTGAAACAGGTAAACCCCAAAGATAAACTCAATCCCGAGGGGAAACCCCAATGCTGTTGGGTTTTTCCCAAGCCCTACAAAGAAGCTGGTAACTTTAGGAGGGGCCCTCTCAGTGGGACCTCCCCTTTTAGGAGCTCTTAACTAACTGGGGGGGACCCCCCTCCCCTGTGGAAATCCTCTTTTCCCTGCAATTCATGGCTCCCAGGCCTGGAGGGATGGTCCTTGTCCTCTGCGCCAGGCTGCTCTCTCGCCTGCAGTGGGCTTGGGCGGGGGGGGGTCAGGTCGCTGCCCCCTGGAACAGGGCTCTGCTATGCAGGGCTTCTGGGGCCTCTGGCTGGCTCAGTAGCCCGATCAACATCTGGTTCTCTGGACTAAACCTTTTGCTATGGATTGGAGGCCTGGGCTGCCTTGTGCAGCACCAGGTTGGGCCCGCTCCCGGACCCTCCGTGCAGCGCCTCCTGCACCGAGCTCCCAGCCTTGTTCCCGGGGTTGAGGACCTGAGCCGCCCAAGTGCTCCAGAGGTCCTACTCCATGCACCATCCTGTGCACTGTGTCTCTGGCCATATGCCAGAGGTTGCAGACCTGAGCTGCCTCTTGCAGCTCCCAGGGTCTGGATGCCGTGTGCCGTGCTGCACACTGAGAGCCTAGCTGCTGGAGCCATCTGCCATTCCCCCGCTGATGGAAGTCTTCAGGGGCACTTCTGGGCTACTGCTTCACCCTGCTTCGCAGCTCTCCTCAGCTCTTCTAAGCCCCACTTTTCTCTCTTCCGGATGTGTTCCTCTTATGCTGAGCACACCGCTCCTTTTATATGCTCCAGGGCTCCACCCCTGAAGTCTTCTGGACCTGAGTGTTGCAGTCTTCAATCAGGTCCACCGGGGGGGGGGGAAATGACTCCTCTCCCCCTCCTCTCAGGAAAGGGGCATGACTGAATTCCTCTTGCTGCCTCCTGATTGGGGGGATGGGCACCCAAGCTCCAAAAGGCAAGCCTGCTACACATGGATGGATCTAGGATTTTGAAAAGAGGAGTGCAGGTGGTATGGTGCATCATCACATATAACCCAACACATTTTTTTCAGTTAAACAGCAATTAGAAACTTGACTAATTTTCTAGGAGCCTAGAACTATATCATTCAGTTTAAGGTCAAAGATAAAACACATGTACCTTTATTAGAATCTTCACTACTTTGCTAGATTCTATATTTAGTTTAGAAAATGCAACAAGCTAGGCAAAAAATGGTCAAACAATATCATTTCATGTGTCCCATAGTCATTATAGTTAAATGTACCTCTCTCATTCCAATTTGTAAAACAAAGCCTAGCCCTCTTAAGTGTTCCTCCAATGATTCACTTCAGTCAAGCCTACACCTGACTTAATTTTACTACACCTGAGTTAAGGCTTTTAGCTAGAGCTAAAAACAGTCTTCAGTGTTGTAAAATAGAAGAGACATTACCAGGAATGGTTAATAGACAGCAACATTGCATAAGGAAGGATAGTTTCAATAGCGGAACATCAAATCTAATAAACTGAGAGAGGG